TTCTTCTCTGACAACAATGCGACAATCGTCACATTGTTGTCATCAAACCGATCAGGCTTCTTACAGTTTGCGCGCCCGATGGTCTCCTCGGCAGCAGCTGTCACCTGGTCGCGAATGTGGTGCCACAGGTCGCCCACTGTGGCTATACAGTCCACATCACCACACAGGCGTGCAGCCATCGCCTTCTCCAGCTCAGTACGTTTCGCCACAGTGCCGAGGGAGAGAATGTTAAATTTACGCCGATTCACGGCGGGAGTACAATACATCGATTTACGAAAATATATGTACAGTTTGGTCCGAACCAATTTGTGATCAGTGCCACACTCAGCTCCACGCAGTACACGTGTCATGCGCACTTCACGCATATCACGCTGACGTACGATGACAATAGTCGAGCAGGTGAGCGTGACCACTCCGTGGGTGCGTCCAAGTTGCTATATCACTCGCAATCAGTGCAAACCGAGTGTTCGTGCTCGTCAGGCCGTGAGTGGCACACAGTGAGAGCAGCCTGTCACCATTCGCATTCGCTGAACCAATGCCATGCGCACCGATAACATCTGTCCACGCTGGTGCATCACGCCCAACGCGCGCGTTGAAATCACCCAGCAGAAATAGTCGGTCGCTCTTCGGCACAGACCGTATCACGGAGGATAGCTCCGTGTAGTACTGATCACGCGTGTCATCAGGATAACACATGGTCGGACCGTACGTGCTTATGAAAGTAGCAAACTTACCTCTTCCGAGTCGTAGGCGAGCAGTCATCAGCCGCGCGCTGATGCCCGTTGGTTCACCCACCAGCTGGCCATTCAGGCGGTCGGATATTGCAAATCCGACCCCATGTTCACGTGGTGCTGAGGCGGCGTTCCCCACCCAGTAGAATGTGTAGCCAGCACGTGCTTCATGTAACTTACCTTGCTCAGCGAGCCGAGTTTCACTGAGCGCCGCAATATCGATGTGGTAGCGCGCCAGCTCCATCGCGACCAGTGCAGTGCGTCGCTCCGGGCGCTCGCTGGAGTTCCGTTCCAGTAATGTGCGCACGTTCCAGCACCCGATGCTGAGTGCTTTGCGCGCAGGCATACGATTGCATTGGTGGGCAATCGCACGCGAGGTGGTCGTTGTGCTTCGGAGGTTTGCTTGAGGGACTCCACCCGGAGCATTTGGCTCAATAGCCTGACCCACAAGGCAGTGGGTGGTTTGGAGGTTTGCTTGAGGAACTCCACCCGGAGCCTTTGGCTCAATAGCCTGACCCACAAGGCAGTGGGTGGTTTGGAGGTTTGCTTGAGGGACTCCGCCCGGAGCCTTTGGCTCAATAGCCTGACCCACAAGGCAGTGGAGAGCAGATCGAGCTCGGGAATGTGATTGCAGAGACAGATTGGGATCTGCTTGACGGCCGTCACACGCAGCCTTTGAGGTTCTGGAACAGTTATCATATGTTTTGCGACCGTATTTGGATACGCACCTGCGACCACGGCCAGACGCAGGTGGGTTTTTGGCGGGTTTGCACCAATTTGACCAGGGGCTGCCTGGCTTGAGGCGGGCAGTAGCAAACCATTGAACACCCGGAGGTGTCCTCCCACCGTCAGAGACAATGCGTGGCACTCGTGCTCTACGCCAATCGAGCATTGAGAATATCACCCGTAACCTGTTGTCTCCCATGGCTAGGTTTTACGGGAAGTGGGCCATCGACCACTTCCTAACCTCTGGAGAGGATGGACTAGGATACTGCCAGGGCGCCCAATCCTGACAGGAGAACGACTCGGGTCCTCAGCCAAAGCCTTCGATTAAATGAACACCCGAAAGGCAGCGGGTCTAGCACATGGTCAGTTAGCTGACTCAGGCGGATTGGTGTCCTGGATCTTAGCAGGGAGAACGGCGAAACCTAACTCCCACCCAGCGGTCGCCACGTGGAGGCGCCCAGGACATGAGACTATGGCGCAGCAGTAGCAGCAGTGGGTAGACCATCTGTCAGGATCTAGCCACCACCAGCCTCAGCGCACCATAGGCTCTCCCGCTAGTGCACATACACATACACATACATACATCATACACATTAGCTGGAGGTGGGGAACACCTCAGCTACTGTGCCGCAATACACAGAAAAAAGAAAAAAATGCAACTGGTGCAAGCCGGCTGAGCTACCGGTAACGGATGGGCATCGTTCCGGTAAGCTACCAGCCGGCTACTGTGCATCAAAAAAATTACTATGCAGAATTATATAAACTTAAATAATGAGATCATGATTGGAGGGGAGGCTAAGAGGGATGGGGTGGGACAAAGAAACTCACAGCACGAACGCCACTGAGGTCGGCTCCTAGCCATATCACCAAGTGTCTCCAACCAAACGTGTTCATCGTCTTTCGGACCCCAACCAGGGAGCCGAGACGCTCCAACCGAGGCCAGCTCAGAAGTGAGGGCCTTCATTCCTCCCGACCAATTCATCGCTTGGCCACCTCTCCTCTTTTTCCGTCCACACCCGCGGCGCGAAAACAACGCACGTCGCGGGAGTCGGTGGGCTGACATGCGTAACACGTGGTCAAGCCATCGGAGCCTCGTGCGTGAAATAACGGTGCTGAGCGGTTCATTTCCTTTTCCTGTGCCATAAACAAGGCGTCGAACACGCTCGTTGTTCAAGCGGTGTTCCAACCAGATGTGAGCTAAATTACGAAGGCACCGGTGGTCGAACGTGACTAGCCTCTTCATGTCCGCTGCTTTAAGCGGCCAGGTTTCACAACCGTACAGTAGGGTCGAACGTACCGCTGCATTGTACACTCTACCCTTCAGGGCAAGGGTGATGTCGCGCCGGCGCCATAAGTGGCGAAGGTTAGCAAAAGCGCCCCGAGCTTTTGCTATACGGTTCGTGATCTCATCTTCAATCCCACGGGCGCTGATACAACTTTCCAGGTAGTTGAATTTTTGAACGACTTCTAGCTGATCCCCACCAACGGTCAGTGCAGGAGGCGGTCCAGGCCAATCTTGGAGGAACGCTTTGCACTTCGAGGGTGAGAAGCAAAGCCCGAAGTGACGCACAGCTAGTGCTAACCTGTCCAGTGCCGCTTGGCACATTTATGAGTTGTCACAGATTAGGGCAATATCGCCAGCATACTCTAAGTCAAGAAGTCGTTCTCCTGGGAGTAGCTGCACACCTAAGTCGTGTCCTGTGAACGCGATTTCCATGACTTCGTCAACAGCGAAGTTGAAAAGGAAAGGTGACAGCGGGCATCATTGTCTCACGCCGCTGGAGATATTAAAGGGCGACGACAACTTGGCGTAAGCCCTCACTCTGCCCGAGCTACGCGCATATAATGCTCGGATAATATTCACATATTTTTCAGGGACACCTTTCCTGAGTAAACAGTCCCAAAGTGCATGTCTATCCACCGAATCGAATGCACCTTTGATATCGAGGAACACGACAATGGTGGGCCGCCAATATATGTGGCGGTGCTCCAACAACTGACGCAAGGTGAAGATATGGTCAATGCAGACACGACCTCGACGAAATCCAGCTTGCTCTTCACGAATCTGGCTTTTACGATTGCCAGTCAGTCTGTAAAGGATGACAGAAGCAAGCAATTTGGAGGCGATGGATATCAGACTGATTCCTCTATTGTTGCCGCATTCCGATCGTGAGCCTCTCTTGAAAACTGGGACTATGATGGGGCGGCTCCAGTCGGTTGGGACAGTTTCCTGATCCCACAGTTTCACTAGTAACTCGTGTAAATCATCCATAAGAGCAGGTCCCCCGAATTTGGAGAGAGCTGGAAGTAGATCATCAGGTCCCGCGGCTTTATTTAACTTCAACAGTTCGATCTCACGTTCGATCTCTGAGCGAGAGGATGGATCCAAAGAGTCCAGGGAGCGGGGCGATCAGTGGCCGGTGAGAAATCTAACCATTCCGATCGATTAAATTGCTTTTCAAAGTGCTCAGCTCAACGCTCCAAGCGTTTTGATAAGTTGTGGATAGGCTGCCCACTCTCGTCACGTATAGTTTCACTAACACCAGGTCTCCTGCTGTCTGTTTCCCGTCTCAGACGGAATAACTTACGATGGTTACCAAGGGCAGCGGCCATTTCCATCTCTGTTGCCGTTTGAAGAGAAATTCATTGTATTGCGTGGGCAGGATACTGTCAGGCTAACCAGGCCTAGACAGGAGAACGATTAGGGTTCTCAACCAAAGCCTTTGGTTAAAAAACCTGACCGCAAGGCAGTGGATTTGGCATTGGGCTACAAGGAGTCCGTTTTAAGGAATAAGGAGCCACCCTCATTCCAACCCCCAAGCTGGAGGACCAGGAGGCTGAGTTTGTCTGGCCTCTAACCATTGAACAATCTGGTATGAGTGGCTCTGAAGGTGCAAAAATGCACCACCCAGTATAGCTCAATGGATCCTTGAAGCACACAAACCATCGCACCACGGTAAGGTCCAGCCTCATTGCGATGGCTGCTAGTGCCCGTCAGACGCAACACAAGCACACCAGCTGGACCTCCAATAACCGATGGACATCGTACTGGAGAGACCACCGCCGGCGGGCAAGTAGGCTCGTTGGAGTTTGGGAGTGGCTGGATGTCAGGCTTCTGAGGTGAACACACGGATCCCCTCGCCTTGGAACGCTTTGCCTTGCTTGCTGGCTCGCGACGTTTATCGACCTCCTGTTGTATTTTACTGGTACTGCTTGCAAAATACTTGGACATAATTATTTTCAATCTTAAGTAAAAGCTTAAATTGCTTAATGGTAAGACCAATACACGAAATATGAAAATTCGCAAGACACAAAAAGCAAGTAACTATATTCGCTTGATGTCAAACGATTTTGTAGCGAGAACCAGATTATGTGTGCTTTGTCATTACTACAGCAAATAACTAGGAAGACTAAAGGTTCCATCTGTGGACGATAATTGACTACATGAAAGCAACACAAAAATGTAGATAAAACACGATTTTACGACAGATAAATTCGGAATCGAAAACAAGACCGAATTCAAGAAAAAAATAGTACAAAAAGGAAGCGCTGCACATAGTAACAAACGAAGCCAACTGGCCTAGCATCAGGGCTTAAAAGATCGACAGACAAGCGCTGCCACTGCGGATGAAAATATGCCGAACACTTCGGTCGATTCCCATTTAGATAAAAGTTCCAAGATTTGCATAAAGATAGAGGAGAGTATGTAAAATTCACGGTGGAAAATGCATTATTTCGGGACAAGGAGACCATTGAAATCACAAGAAAAGGATCACATGGAACCAGAAAAGAGATCCTGGCCGATGGTGACTACCACTGCCATCCATATAATCAAAAGATCAAAGTAGGAACTCAGAAGTCTATGTGCCACACACCTTGTCACCGGAGAGAATGCTCATCAAATACTCCAACCGTTTCTTTAGCTCTTTATCAGACTCAGAAAGCGGTTCCACGATCGCCAACGGAGATGGCTGATCATCTTTTGCAGTCGGTTCTATGGTTTCCTCCACTGCATCCTTAGCTGCATGCTCGTCGGTGCCTTTCGAATCGTCTGCCGATCCGACAGCCCCGTCGATCACCACAGGAGCCTTCTTGTCACCGCGCTTCTCCTTTTCAATCACAGCCATTATGTGGTTGAACTTAGGACTGCGTGACAAAAAATTTGAGACGTTCTGAAGAAAGGCTTGTGTGGAATTTTCGTACAGATCAAAACCAATCTGGTAGGCCGTCAAGGTACCTTCTTCTGATTGCAGCAACAGTTGTTCCAACAGGCTGGCAGTAGCCTAAATTCAAAAAGGTTTCCGGAAAGGAAAAATCAGCTAAAGAATTCCAATGAACTGATAAAGAACGAACGTGAATCCTAGTAAATTAGCGCCGACAGTACTCGAAGTTTATGAAATAGGTGGAAAGGTCGAGTACGCTTTATCACATAAGAAGACAAATGCAACAAGCCGCTGAACGGAAACACGAGGTGTAACAAGTCATAAGCACTTGATTTGGCAGTACATTTCATATGGCAAACAGCTCAAAATTCGCTGAGTTGGTAGATCGTACGACATATATCATTGTGTAGAAGAATCGGGGGAAAGTGAAGAACGAGGTAAATTCGCGCTTCTACGGTGAGTTACATGTAGCGAGTACCAAGGATTGATAAACAAAGGGCATCCAGCAGTGCCCCGGTAGGTCATACTGACGCTCCGCCCCCACGCGAACTCCGATAATTGCGTAAAGGATACGTATGAATACTGCGCCATCGTGTGCACCAATGCAAGCTCATAGCTGCCACCTGTAGGCAACAAGCCAGACGACAAAAACACTAAGTCATCAGAAGGCCAGCTTGCTAGTAACAATAAAATAACCACATTGGATTATCTGACAAAGATTTGACTAAGGCTCTATCGTCACAGTTAAAAGAACGCTTATAGTGGTCAGGTTAACACCAATAATACGCAATCATAACAAGTAACAAAGCGAAGCGTCATGAACGCATTTGAGTATTGATCGGGAACGCAACTGTTCCCTTGATTGGTTGACATTGACCTTGAGTAACCTTTCTTCCACCTGATTCGCACCAGTGATCCAAAAAAACCAGGCGTCAGTGAGACGATCAGAGACAGCGCGGGTGCACTGATACACAATACGGAGCGCCGTATGGCTCGCTGGGAGGAATGATTCCAAGATCAGTTCAGATAGCCGCCTGCTCGCGGACCTCTTCCTACTCAGGTGATGCATGACGAGCCATGTCCGGTAGGTTTAGAGGCCCCGTCGGTGACCGAGATCAGAAATGTGATCAGAGCCCTCAACCGTTTTGTTGCTGCTGGCCCAGGTGCCTTCGCACCTGCACCATAAAAGGATGCAGGTGAAGACCTCTGCAAAGCACTGCCTAACTATTCGAATATAACTGGAAGGAAAAGTGTCCCAGCTAAATAGAGTGAATCGATTCCAGTGGCAATGCACAACGGCAGTCGCACAGACTGTGCTAACTCCATGGATATTAGAATAACGCCAGTTGTGACAAAAGTACTGGCCTCCATTCTATTTGTCGCCTCACTGTGGAACGGGAATCTCAGACTAGGGAAGCGCCGGCAGGTTTCCGCAAAGGACGTGGCTGCATAGATCATATATGCCAAATTCTGCATGTGCTAGAGCAGTGCCACGCATACCCAAGATCGCCAATAGACGTATTCCTTGATTCCAAAAGTGTGTTCGGTATAGTCGATCGATGCAATACGTTCGAAATCATTATCATCATCGACAGCAGTGCATCAGCCACTTGCACGGATGCTTCGCTGCCATACAACCATGAGGACCTATGAAATGAAGAATAATAAGAAGGAGATAAGGAGGACTTAGCTGAAAATCTCCATGCCCTATGCAAAAAGTCAAGGTCAAGACGCCTACACCTTGTGTTAAAAACGCACCGTCACAAACAGCTGGCTATCGTGCAAAGATAAGGCGGCAATGGCGAGACAGCTTCCTTGTGGCTTTCACTTCTCCGCGTCATAATCTGCCATTACTCTGCAGATAACTCGGCACCAAACACACCTTAAACAGACAGTCCGACTAGAAGACGGCAGCAATCGCGCCACTAATGTCGGTTGCGAGCCATGTCCTGTAAAGTCTCGAGCCAAGCACAAAACGAGTCACGTGGACTCCAGCGCGGAAGGCGAGACGAATTGACGGCACCCAGTTTGGTCGTCAGTGAATTCATTTCCCTCTGCCAACTCAACTTTTGTCCACCTCGAGTCTTGTGCCACTCTACATCTGGCAGACAAAACAAGGCCCTCTTAGGTAGGCGATGACCAGGCATACGTAGCACTTGCCCGAGTCAACGCAACTTACTCAGTGCTATCTGTTGTTCTAGAGAGCTAGCATGATTATCACTACCTAGTACTCGGCTACGCACATCATTGTTGCGGACACGCTGGTGCCATCTGACATCAGCAATGCTTCCCAGACAAAGATGGTCAAATACTTGAAGGTGCCTCAGATCTTCAGACCGAAGGGACCAAGTTTCACTACCATAAAGCATGACGGCCCTCACTGTGGCCTTGTATGCACAGTCTATCAGACGGAGAGAAACTCATTTCTGTCGCCAAAGATACCGTAGATTCAAGAAGGTAGTTCTGGCTTTTGCAATGCGCGAGCTGACGTGAGTTTCAATGCGCCCATCGTTGCCGATGCAGCTGCCAAAATAAGTGGAATGATCAACCATATCGAGTTCCTCGTTAGCAAGCGTCGAGGGGTCTTCAAGTGGCTGGTGGTCCTGCAGCAACACTTTGCACCATGAAGGTACGATGCGCATGCCAAATCATGGGACTATTCAAGAGAGGCTATTCAGGATTGATTTTGCCACCCCAACGTGATCGAAAAACAAGACGATATCATCCGCATAATTATGATCAACTAAGCTTGCACCAGGCAGGACCTCAACGCCTACATCGTGAGATTCCGCAAGAGAACACTACATGAATGAATCCACGACGATACTGAACAAAAACCGGGGAATCGGACAACCCTGACGGACGCCACTTGTAGTGGAAAAGCTATCCGATAGGACACCGTAAAACCTGACGCGGCCTGTAGTGTTCGAGTAGGATGTTCACATGTTTTGCGGGAACACCTTTACGCGCAAGTATTTCGAACAGAATCGATCGATCGACCGAATCGAACGCACTCTTGAAATCGAGGAACACAGCTATTGCCGGTCTGCGGTATGCGTGGCGCTGCTCTAACACCTGCCGCAAAGTGAATATATGGTCTATACAGCCATGGACGGTTAGTTTAGAGCTGACGTCGGTGACCGAGGTCCGAAACGCGATCACAGCCCTCAATCGTTTTCGTGCCGCTGGCCCGGATTCCCTCCGTCCTGCGCTATTTAAGGATGGAGGTGAGGTCCTCTGCAAAACACTGACCTCCCTATTCGAACGTATCTGGAAGGCAGAGAGTGTCCATGAAGCGCAGTCGCACAGACTGTTCTAAACACAGGGGTATTAAACTAACTCCAGTTGTGATAAATTTACTGGCCTCGATTATCATTCGTCGCCTCACTGCGGAACGGAAAGCTCGTACTAGGGAAAAACAGGCCGGTTTCCGCCCAGAACGTGGCTGTATAGACCATATATTCACTTTGCGGCAGGTGTTAGAGCAGCGCCACGCATACCGCAGACCGACAATAGCTGTGTTCCTCGATTTCAAGAGTGCGTTCGATTCGGTCGATCGATCGATTCTGTTCGAAATACTTGCGCGGAAAGGTGTTCCCGCGAAACATGTGAACATCCTACTCGAACACTACAGGCCGCGTCAGGTTTTACGGTGTCCTATCGGATAGCTTTTCCACTACAAGTGGCGTCCGTCAGGGTTGTCCGATTCCCCAGTTTTTGTTCAGTATCGTCGTGGATTCATTCATGTAGTGTTCCCTTGGGGAATATCTTGATGTAGGCGGTGAAGTGCTTCCTGGTGAAAGGTTAGTTGACCTAGATTACGCGGACGATATCATCTTGCTTTTCGACCATGTTGCGACGGCACAATCAATCCTGAATAGCCTGTCCAGTGTGGTCTCATTATTTAGTATACACTTCGCACCTTCAAAGTGCAAAGTGTTGCTGCAGGACCACCAGCCACTTGAAGACCCCTCGACGCTTGCTAACGAGGAACTCGATATGGTTGATCATTCCACTTATTTTGGCAACTGCATCGGCAACGATGGGCGCATTGGAACTCACGTCAGCTCGCGCATTGCAAAAGCCAGAACTACCTTCTTGAACCTACGGTATCTTTGGCGACAGAAATGAGTTTCTCTCCGTCTGATAGACTGTGCATACAAGGCCACAGTGAGGGCCGTCATGCTTTATGGTAGTGAAACTTGGTCCCTTCGGTCTGAGGCACCTTCAAGTATTTGACCATCTTTGTCTGGGAAGCATTGCTGGTGTCAGATGGCCCCAGCGTGTCCGCAACAATGATGTGCGTAGCCGAGTACTAGGTAGTGATAATCATGCTAGGTCCCTAGAACAACAGATAGCACTGAGTAAGTTGCGTTGACTCGGGCAAGTGCTACGTATGCCTGGTCATCGCCTACCTAGGAGGGCCTTGTTTTGTCTGCCAGATGTAGAGTGGCACAAGACTCGAGGTGGACAAAAGTTGAGTTGGCAGAGGGAAATGAATTCACTGACGACCAAACTGGGTGCCGTCGGTTCGTCTCGCCTTCCGCGCTGGAGTCCACGTGACTCGTCTTGTGCTTGGCTCGAGACTTTACAGGACATGGCTCGCAACCGACATTAGTGGCGCGATTGCTGCTGTCTTCTAGTCGGACTGTCTGTTTAAGGTGTGTTTGGTGCCGAGTTATCTGCAGAGTAATGGCAGATTATGACGCGGAGAAGTGAAAGCCACAAGGAAGCTGTCTCGCCATTGCCGCCTTATCTTTGCACGATAGCCAGCTGTCTGTGACGGTATGTTTTTAACACAAGGTGTAGGCGTCTTGACCTTGACTTTTTGCATAGGGCATGAAGATTTTCAGCTAAGTCCTCCTTATCTCCTTCTTATTATTCTTTATTTCATAGGTCCTCATGGTTGTATGGCAGCGAAGCATCCGTGCAAGTGGCTGATGCACTGCTGTCGATGATGATGATGATTTCGAACGTATTGCATCGATCGACTATACCGAACACACTTTTGGAATCAAGGAATACGTCTATTGGCGATCTTGGGTATGCGTGGCACTGCTCTAGCACATGCAGAATTTGGCATATATGATCTATGCAGCCACGTCCTTTGCGGAAACCTGCCTGCGCTTCCCTAGTCCGAGATTCCCGTTCCACAGTGAGGCGACAAATAGAATGGAGGCCAGTACTTTTGTCACAACTGGCGTTATTCTAATATCCATGGAGTTAGCACAGTCTGTGCGACTGCCGTTGTGCATTGCCACTGGAATCGATTCACTCTATTTAGCTGGAACACTTTTCCTTCCAGTTATATTTGAATAGTTAGGCAGTGCTTTACAGAGGTCTTCACCTGCATCCTTTTATGGTGCAGGTGCGAAGGCATCCGGGCCAGCAGCAACAAAACGGTTGAGGGCTCTGATCACATTTCGGATCTCGGTCACCGACGGGGCCTCTAAACCTACCGGACATGGCTCTTCATGCATCACCTGAGTAGGAAGAGGTCCGGGAACAGGCGGCTATCTGAACTGATCTTGGAATCATTCCTCCCAGCGAGCCATACGGCGCTCCGTATTGTGTATCAGTGCACCCGCGCTGTCTCTGATCGTCTCACTGACGCCTGGTTTTTTTGGATCACTGGTGCGAATCAGGTGGAAGAAAGGTTACTCAAGGTCAATGTCAACCAATCAAGGGAACAGTTGCGTTCCCGATCTGTACTCAAATGCGTTCATGACGCTTCGCTTTGTTACATGTTATGATTGCGTATTATTGGTGTTAACCTGACCACTATAAGCGTTCTTTTAACTGTGACGATAGAGCCTTAGTCAAATCTTTGTCAGATAATCCAATGTGGTTATTTTATTGTTACTAGCAAGCTAGCCTTCTGATGATTTAGTGTTTTTGTCGTCTAGCTTGTTGCCTACAGGTGGCAGCTAGGAACTTGCATTGGTGCACACGATGGCGCAGTATTCATACGTATCCTTTACGCAATTATCGGAGTTCGCGTGGGGGCGGAGCGTCAGTATGACCTACCGGGGCACTGCTGGATGCCCTTTGTTTATCAATCCTTGGTACTCGCTACATGTAACTCACCGTAGAAGCGCGAATTTACCTCGTTTTTCACTTTCCCCCGATTCTTCTACACAATGATATATGTCGTACGATCTACCAACTCAGCGAATCTTGAGCTGTTTGCCATATGAAATGTGCTGCCAAATCAAGTGCTCATAACTTGTTACACCTCGTGTTTCCGTTCAGCGGCTTGTTACATTTGTCTTCTTATGTGATAAAGCGTACTCGACCTTTCCACCTATTTCATAAACTTCGAGTACTGTCGACGCTAATTTACTAGGATTCACGTTCGTTCTTTATCAGTTCATTGGAATTCTTTAGCTGATTTTTCCTTTCCGGAAACCTTTTTGAATTTAGGCTACTGCCAGCCTGTTGGAACAACTGTTGCTGCAATCAGAAGAAGGTACCTTGACGGCCTACCAGATTGGTTTTGATCTGTACGAAAATTCCACACAAGCCTTTCTTCAGAACGTCTCAAATTTTTTGTCACGCAGTCCTAAGTTCAACCACATAATGGCTGTGATTGAAAAGGAAAAGCGCGGTGACAAGAAGGCTCCTGTGGTGATCGACGGGGCTGTCGGATCGGCAGACGATTCGAAAGGCACCGACGAGCATGCAGCTAAGGATGCAGTGGAGGAAGCCGTAGAACCGACTGCAAAAAATGATCAGCCATCTCCGTTGGCGATCGTGGAACCGCTTTCTGAGTCTGATAAAGAGCTAAAGAAACGGTTGGAGTATTTGATGAGCATTCTCTCCGGTGACAAGGTGTGTGGCACATAGACTTCTGAGTTCCTACTTTGATCTTTTGATTATATGGATGGCAGTGGTAGTCACCATCGGCCAGGATCTATTTTCTGGTTCCATGTGATCCTTTTCTTGTGATTCTCCTTGTGGTCTCCTTGTCCCGAAATAATGCATTTTCCACCGTGAATTTTACATACTCTCCTCTATCTTTATGCAAATCTTGGAACTTTTATCTAAATGGGAATCGACCGAAGTGTTCGGCATATTTTCATCCGCAGTGGCAGCGCTTGTCTGTCGATCTTTTAAGCCCCGATGCTAGGCCAGTTGGCTTCGTTTGTTACTATGTGCAGCGCTTCCTTTTTGTACTATTTTTTTCTTGAATTCGGTCTTGTTTTCGATTCCGAATTTATCTGTCGTAAAATCGTGTTTTATCTACATTTTTGTGTTGCTTTCATGTAGTCAATTATCGTCCACAGATGGAACCTTTATTCTTCCTAATTATCTGCTGTAGTAATGACAAAGCACACATAATCTGGTTCTCGCTACAAAATCGTTTGACATCCAGCGAATATAGTTACTTGCTTTTTGTGTCTTGCGAATTTTCATATTTCGTGTATTGGTCTTACCATTAAGCAATTTAAGCTTTTACTTAAGGTTGAAAATAATTATGTCCAAGTATTTTGCAAGCAGTACCAGTAAAATACAACAGGAGGTCGATAAACGTCGCGAGCCAGCAAGCAAGGCAAAGCGTTCCAAGGCGAGGGGATCCGTGTGTTCACCTCAGAAGCCTGACATCCAGTCACTCCCAAACTCCAACGAGCCTACTTGCCCGCCGGCGGTGGTCTCTCCAGTACGATATCCATCCGCTACTGGAGGTCCAGCTGGTATGCCTGTGTTGCGTCTGACGGGCACTAGCAGCCATCGCAATGAGGCTGGACCTTACCGTGGTGCGATGGTTTGTGTGCTTCAAGGATCCATTGAGCTATACTGGGTGGTGCATTTTT